CAGGCTCCTGAGGAGTCGGAGGCAGCGCGTAGGGGAGGTTAGGTGACCCTAAAAGGGGTTGCGAGGCTACACGCTGCGCGCCAAGCGACTGCTCTGCCAGAGAGGAGGCAGCGTAGACCAGCAAATGGGTGAAGGTCGACAGCACATGCCTGGGAGCTTCACAAGTGCTTAGAGCGCGCACCAGCTCCACTCAGAAACCATCCTGAAATATCCCTCCTTCAGCAATCCTCAGAGTCGCGAGTCCTTGAGCTGCTGGTGGAAATCCAACCGGTCCTATGCAACATTCCCAAGAGTAGTCCTTCCACTCCTTCCTCCCACTCACCCTCGGTATCATGATGACCTGCCTGATCCCGAACCCGCAGGGGGACAATGTTTTGCTACGCTTGTCGGTTGCCCGCAACGCCTTAGGGCAGACACCCAGTATGACTGGGGTTTGCTGCAACGGCCTTGATTGGAGCTTTTATTTGTTGGCAAAAGCTGTCCGTGGCCTCTGTACAGGCGAAGTAAAATGGGCATGGGCTGGAAACGTTGCGACGTGTTCGTTCGGTGGCCTCGGCCTCGATATTCCCGCCTTAAGGGGTGCCCTCGAGGCGCCTGCCAGCCTAGCTACTTGTAAATACGACGAATGGGCCCAGATTGTCTGTCAAACGTGGGCGTGAAGGCCGGCGGAGGGCGGCCGAAGAAGTAGCCCAGCTGTTCATACAAGGCTACCTCAGTCAAATTCACATGTCGTTGCACAATGGCCTCGTCGGTGTTCATATACTTGACGACACCGGCGTCGATGTTTGTCACCGTCACGCCTTGGATACCCTCGGCCAGCAACAGCACTGCGCCAGCACCTACTTCATGGCCGAACTTCACGTCGTAGGACGAAGTGAAGCCACATCGGACCAAGTGCTCGGGCACCACGGTGCGGATCTCGGGCTCTTCGTAGACGCCCTTGACATACATCTTGTGAGCCTTCATCTGCTCGGCCACGGTGGGGTCCGCATGCATGCGCAGCTCCAACTCTTGGCGGACGTACTTTCCGGCGCCTGCCAGCTTGAAGTGGTCGCTGGAGTCAGGTGGAATGTTCTTGTCGACCAGTTCGGAGCCAGATGCGTCCTTGAGACCTTCGGACACTACGATGATGTATGTGCCCGCCTTGACGTCGCTATCTGCGACACGGCCGAAGTACTTTGTCCTGATGTCCGCCCACAGGAGATCGAAGTCTACAGGGACTTCAGGGATGAGAATCGCGTCGGCACCAGCCGCAACTCCTCCTCGAAAGGCAGTGTGGCCGGCGTAGCGGCCGAAGACCTCAACGACGAGGATGCGGTTGTGCGTTCTGCCAGTGGTGGAGAGATCGCGGACGAACTCACGAATGCGGTTGATCGTGGAGTCAGCTCCGACACTGTAGGACATGAGGTCGAGGTCCATAGTCTTTGGGGCATGGATGCACTTGATCCCGTTCTTGATCAGGTCCAGCATGATGGTGCCAGTGTCGTCGCCTCCACTGATCACAAGGGCATCGATCCCAAATTTCTGCAGACCTTTTTTCACCGTGTCATACTTGTTGGGGTCCTTAATCTTCGCGATCTTCACCCTTGAATGGCCGGCTTCGGAGCCTGCCATGCCCACAGACACGGGATCCAGCCGCTCGGGCGTGAGCTGCACCAAGGTGTCCATGTTCACCAAGTTGTACAAGCCTGCATAGCCGTTGGGAATCACGTAGGCCTTCATTCCCTTTTTGTACGCCATCATGGCCGCACCCTTGATCACCGCATTAAGCCCTCCGCAGTCACCTCCGCCGGTGATGATGGCGATCTTCTCGATCTTCTCAACCTTCTCAATGGCCATTGCGAAGCTCCCTGGAGGGTAGAGAGGTCTCCTAGAGGGTCGCACTTGGAACCAAAACACTGCAACGTCCTGATAGAGCAAGCTCCCTCTCCCTCTAAGCACGCATGTGAAATGGGACCATATTGGGCTGGGGCTAGAGCTAGACAGAGCTAGACCCTCCACACTCTTAGGGTTGCGACCCTCACCTCAGGCCTCTGGGGACGAACTGGAGTGGGCTGCGAGTGCACAACTTCGATTCCCTCCCTGGAAGGCGTTCTAAGAGGTGCCACATGATGGTTTGGCACACTACGGGTGACCCCACACCTAGGGTTTTTCATGCCTACCATACCTTTTGCAGCAACGTAGGGTGCCCTCCTGCCAAAATCCCATGTCCCGACGAGTCATTCAAACCTCAGATCAGTGTATAAGGAAGCCTGTCAGGAAGTGCAGAGGACGTGGATTGGCAGAAGAGCATGAGGCGCCGAGCCATCCCAGTGAGGGACCCTCACAGAGTCTGTAAGATTCTCCTGTGGCCATTCCCTTTGACCCTGTGCTTGTTCAACGCTAAAGCAAGCCGTACGAACCCGAACAATAAGGCCGGAAGCTAAATCATGATTCCTGGAACTTCGATTTATAAACCGAACCTATCCACCGAAATTTCCAACGACTGGCACACAGCACCATGGCAGAACCGCAAATCGATACCTCGAACTTCAAGACCTTAACTTTAAGCTCCACACCCCATCTGCCAGGAAGATAACCCCAAGTCTGCTGACAAGCATGAACCCTTCTTTCCCTCTGCCAAGGCCACAGACTCGCTGACCTACAACCCTAGTTAGAAGCCTAAATGAATACATTACTTTCTTTGGAGTCTTGGCAACAGATTCTCTGACCCTGACCATGCACTCGGAGTCGAACCAACACCGCAATCTAAGCCATGCGGCTGATGGGAGGCCTCTCCCCAGAGCTGTGACATTGCAGTCATTGGCGAGGTGCTCTGCACCCTTTCCTGGGCACAACCGTGCACGAGGAAAGGACTCAAAGTCTTGAAACTGCTTTTCAGGCCAGTTGCGATGCAGAGTCTGCGCAGTTTTTGCATCTTGCTCCGCCTGCATGGAAAGGCTGCGCAGTGCGGTCATACTTCTTCTCTACCTTTCTCTGCAATTAGTCGCTGTGCGGTCATGCAGCGACCATACATTCACAAATATGCTAGCTATATACATGACACGCACTTCGTGGTTTACTCGTTACTGTTTAACTAACATCATTTGTCGCGGCCGCCATGGAGCATTTAGAGATCTGCTTCCCTATGGAGTGTCCGAAGGTGTGGCTCTAGTCTTCTAGTCTAAAGCAGCAATGCGAAACCTCAATGCAGGTTCGGCTTCAATGGAAAGAGACAGCGAAAAACGCCCTTTCGTTTCCAACAGATGTAGATGATGCTTGCTGCTAGCTGCGAACCAAGGCTTCTGCACATATATGGTAACAGTGCGTGCGTGTCCTCAAACTTGATTCTGATATGAAAATGCTTTAGGTGCGACCCAACCCCGGAAGTCGCAGCCCTACGCTCTCTTCGCAACCCTGCTTTCCAATCGTCCTTGGCGTTGCAGGCTCCTTTAATTCCAGGATTGAACGAAACCCACATTCAGTATTCACTGTCCTTGCTTTGTTGTGCTTGGGGAACAACACGACCTGGTGTTCAGTGACTCGGACCTACCGGTCGGTTCTCGATAACGCGGGGCAAAACAAGACGGCTTCGTTACGCCTGAAGCACTGACACCGAATACATCGCTTACTAGTACAGTAGCAACAAGCCTCTTGCCATGTTGCAATCAGGAATCAAGAAGAAGACAGCTCCTCTATCTGCTCCTCTGAAATCGATGGAAGGAGTTCTGCACCATCTCTTGCTTTGGCAGACACGGACTCGAAGACTCAGTATCATCTCAATAGACATTTGAGCTTCGCCTTACGCTGCGGGAATTGGGCTCCTTGATTTGGTGCCACGGCGAATGGGTTGGGATTTGGACGGGGCCCGAGGTAGCTGCTTTCTTTTCCGTTTTTTCATGGCCTTCATGGCGTACATACCGTTGGAACCGAAGCATTGAGCGATTCTCGTAATTCTCGAACTCAACTCGTCATTGACATCACGTCACCTTGACACCTGCAGGAACCTGCCTTGGCTTGCTTTTTCATCATCATCTTCTTCTTCCCCTTCCCCGTCTTCAGGTTCTCCCGGAGAGCCAGGAGACGAAGTCTTGCAGCTCCTGAGCACAACAACGCTCACAGAAACGCGAGAAGGGAGTATGACTGTGTAAGATGAGGGTTTGGGGTGGGGCTAGGGCGCTCTGGGTCCAAACTGAGTGTCTATGACTCCATCATTGTTCACGTCAATCTCTGCGAAGATCCTTAGAATCTCACAAACAGAAGAAATGATTTGTTCCGAAGCTGCCACTTCATCCGAAGGCTCTTCTTGAGAGTGACCTGCACCGCCATTTTCAGATTTTGGAAGCTTGAGGGACATCTCTCTGCAATAGGGCCCCCTTCAATCACAAAAGAGCAGGGGCTCTGCTAGGACCTAGCCGCTAGGAGAGATATTGACACCTTGCAGCTTTGGGATCGTGAGAGTCAGGCAGGGCTCTACGTCAGCGCAATTCACTTGTCGTCTCTCGTGGCTTCAGAGTCAGAGATGGCCTCTGTGAACTTGGGGTTCACCTGCTTCAGAACCTGGCCCATCTCCTCTGTAGAAACCGTTCCATCTCCATTCTTGTCCTGAGCCAAAGAGCAACGAACTGCCAGCAGAAACCCCAAGAGGACACATCCGAGCAAATGGGAGATCCGAGTAGCCCAAGCCAAGAAGGTGTCGACCTTTGCTTGGCAGCAGACCGGATGGAAAACTCGGGCAATCTCCGAGGAAAGAACGAGCTGATCGAGGCCTGTCGTGGCAATCCACGACCTTACAAGTCAACAACAAAGCACCCCCCGGGCACCCTTCTGCTTGGCTGCTATGATTACTAAGTCTGGTTTGTTCTAGGCCCCAAGCAGGCACATTCGAGGCCTCGCCATGGCTGTCAGGACATTTCACGTAGGATGCAGGAAAAAACGAAGGAACAGGGGCCTGCAAATGGAGCGTGATGGGGAAGTGCTTGCTATCCAGAGATGCAGCCTTGTCCTTGAGAATCTCTCTTAGAGCGATGGACTCTCCAGCCGCATTCGTGGCATGGTATTTCAACTGCAAGAGAATCAGCAGTAAGCTACCGACTTTGCGGCCGAGCAACACTTGGTCCACGGTGGCCAAGTTGTCTGACACGAGCCATCCGATGTCCTGAGTTCACCTCGCCTTGTTAGGACGAAACCCACGGTCTGCGGGCCTCCGGTCCCACCCCCTCGATGAAGTCAGGCCACCGTCCCGGTCTTGGTCACATTTGGTGTACAATTCCTCCGCAACAGCTCTGGAGAATCCAGCCTCAATCCGTGCGAGTTCTTCTGTTTAAGAAGGTCTCCGATATGCTACACTAGTACTTGCTGTCGTTAGCGTCGTTGTGTGCATGTTGTTCGCCAAAATGAGCATGACTGGAGCCGCAGTGGGAGCAAACAGCCAACCCGGACCAATGTGAACTCGTCTCTGCATGGTCACCCGGTCTTGGACATGCGGTAGCAACCGACATGGACAAGCCGAACCTATTCCAGGCTTGCGCACCCACCACCACCAAAAGAGCTCTACCCAGGTTGCCTCGCCCTTCTAAGATTCTAGCTGCTGTAACTTCGTCTAGCTGCTGTAACTTCGTCTACCCGCAAGCTCCAGGACATCCTGAAAAATCCGCACCTCTCGGGTTGCGCAGAAGCAGCAGTGTTCGGCTGAGACTTCTGTAGACTGCGAGCACCGCAACAACATTGAGGCAAGGAGCTTCGGTCTGACGAAATCTTCCTCGGCAATTAGCGACACGGATCGCATCTCACGAAACTTGGGAGCTCGGAGTCACATCTGCAGCCAGGAGTCGCGACTGAAGCGCAGGCCTCGTTCTCTCTTCTCTTGTCTCTTTGCCTTCGCAACGTCAAACGAGGTGCATCCGACGATCCGATGCCGTTTACTCACGCCTCTTCGGCATCTTTCCTCCACGTAGATTAAAAAACACTCGGAGGCTCAGCACTCCAGCGGAGCTGCGGGCCTGCTGCGAAAGGCGGCCAGCCGCTCCTCAGAGCGCGGCAGACGAAGGGACTCTGCAAAAACACATCGTGACTGCGCGCGTGGACTGCGGAGCTCCTCGGTTTCGTGGATCTTTCGCTTGGTTTCTTCAACAGCCATGTTCAGCAATTGCCGGCGAAAGTCACCCGTCTGCCTGCGGCAGGGCTTGGACAACGATCACTGTTGGTTAGTTTGGTGCGCATAGATCCGACGTCACCCGCTGTCTTGGCCACATTCGTTTGCCTGCCATCATGGCCGTTGACCCAACTCCAGAACTCGATGATGGAAAGCTCGCCATCCTCGGAAGGAGAGAGAGAGAGAGAGAGAGAGAGAGGCAAGGAAAGAGAAAGAGAGAGACAGAAGATAGGGGAGAGGGTGCGAGAGAAGCTTGTTTCGTCGACTCTTCAGTATTACCGCTGCCGTAGCTCCTTGTTTTTGTCGAACTGATCACTGAGGGTCTGAACGTTGTCTGGGCTGAAGCTGAGCGAGAGAGGAACCTGAACAGGAGCTTGGTGCGACCCTCATCTCGCTGAAGGGCATCTCTGACTTGCATGCCTGGGCAGCTCTTTTCATTTCATCAGCATCGATTTTGCCGCTGTGATCAACATCCAGCAATTCAAAGATCAACTTGACCTCGCATGACATCGTCTCTTACCGCTTTCGTGCCATCACGCCTAGGCTCCTCACCTCTTCACCTTGTGTTTGTGGTTCTCCCAGTCCTGACATCTTCCCACTGGGGAGTCCTCGCTGAGCACTTCACGGAGAGTGTGGGCGAAAGCACGGTCGCGAAAGCTGAATCTCAGCCCGGCACCACCGCTATCGACTGGCGGCCATATTCTGAGAGGCATCACAAGGAATCCGTGACACGGTGGGGAACACGACGAAGCAGGTTTTTGGGCTCAAACAACGTGCCATGCAGCCAAGAGAAAGCCTGCCATCGGTTGTAGCTGCTGAGTCTGCACCCCCAAGTCACGAAGCATGAATGGCATCACCACCGCTGGCC